CAATGTTTTTTACTCCCTCCGTCCCGCTATATTCGTCTACTTTTAACTTTTGGAACTGTTCATCTAAACACTTTGACTCATCAAATTCTCTCAATATGTAAGCCTAAATATAGTCAAGTGTGATCTTGTTTGATTTGTCTTAACATATAGATTATTAATATATAATTTCTATAATTTTTTAATATACAAATTACAAGATAAAATGGATTAAAGAAGTGTATTGAATGGTGTATAAAAATGAAAGTGGACAAACACTCTGGGACGGAGGGAGTATACAATTGCATGATGAAGTTTTTTCAGCCTAATACAATGTCATCTCTAATTCCCCATTTTGATTTGTGATGAGCTGTATTTTTTGGGTATAATTACATTTTGTAGGGTCTTTTTACTTGTAAGACATCTAAAATTTTAATTCTAAAAAGTAAAAATATTAGTCAGTTCGGTCTTTTCAGTCCAAATCAGTTCGGCCTAAAGGCTTTTGGTTCGGTCCAATCTAAAACCAAAAACTTTTTAAGTCCGATACTTCGGTCCGATCCTAGAACAATGGACACCCCTAGTTGCAACTTGCAACCCAAATTAGGAAGTAAAAAGCCTAAAAAGACTAAATTTGACAAGAAAATAAAAAATGAAATGAAAACCAGAAGATGGCATCAAGTTTTGAAGGTTACCTAGTAGATTTCGAAAGGCTAAATTTTACCAAACCTTTTAAAGAAAATGTTAAATAATCCAAAACAATTCTGTTTTAAACAAATTCAACATATTTTTAACATCTCGTTTAAACTACATGATTCCGATTCAAGATCAATGGAAGAACAATACTACAGAGTATAATCACAATTAAACCAAAAATTGTGTAATAATTTGACCGAAGTGCAGTTCTAAACACGAACAGAAGTACATTTTGAATTTAATATATTCTTGAACGAGAGTACACATCTCAAAAAAAAAATTAGCAAAATATTATGCAGATCATAGGATATGCAATGTCCATTTCAGGTGAAAGTCCATTCCCAATCTATGCATATCAAACGGTTAATCGTTCGAGTTGGGGACCTCATCGTTCCCACAAAAACACTGTCCAAATCCATACGCAACAACCCTCCATTCCATAGTTCATGTCTCTTAAGAAGAAATGAATGAACGTAGACATACATTATGTCAACATCCATTCATTTTTCAACGAATCAAGAAAGCGCTAATAGACAGTTAATATGGTATGAAATGGAGGGGTTATGTTACAAGACCTGAAATCTGGGTTTTGGTTGAAACATGGCCAGAATCCAACACATTGGCAATCTATGCATATCAAACTAGAACAGTTAATCGATCGAGTTGCAGACCTCATCTTTCCCACAAAAACACCCAGTTCCATATTTGATGTCTATTAACGCTTTCTTGATACATTGAAGAATGAATGAATGTAGACATGCACTATGTCTACGTCCATTTATCTTCAACGAATCAAAAAACAGTTAATATGGTATGAAATGGAGGGATTATGTTACAAGACCTGAAACCAGTTCGGGTTTTGGTTGAAAACTGGCCAAAATCCAAAACATTGGCAGACATAACTTCAACCATTCAAAGCAAGCAATGACCAAAATCAATGAAGGTTTCATAGAAACAGATTTGTAGAGATCACATAACAAGATAATCCATCAAGGCAAAATTAAATATCTTTGAAACAAGCAACTAAATGTAGTTAAAACATAAAATTCAGATCTCGAAAATCCAGAGAGAAGCATGAAAAAGAAAAGGCAGAAAGAGACCTAGGCGGTGAGAATGACGGCGCCGCCACCGGCCTTGATCTTCTTCTCGGCGATTTTGGAGATGAGCTTGGCCTTGACGACGATCGGCTGCGACGGAGGCAAAACGCCCTTGCCTAAGACCTTGAAGTAGCCGAACTGGGTGACGTCGACGAGAGGAGCGGAGTCCTTGCTCTTCGCCGCCTTCTCCTTGGCTTCCGGCGGGAGGAGTGACCAGATCTGCTCGATGTTCACGGTGGGGCAGTGGAACCTGTTCTGTAGCTTGTGGAAGTAGCGCATGCCGACCTTACCGAAGTAGCCGGGGTGGTACTTGTCGAAGAGGATCCGGTGGTGGTGCATTCCTCCGGCGTTACCGCGACCTCCGGGATGCTTCCGGTGCTTGCCGATACGCCCGTGACCGGCGCTGACGTGGCCACGCTTCTTCCGGTTCTTCTTCAGGTGGGTCGTCATTTCGTTCGGGAAGAAGAGGGTGAGGGCGGCGGCTGGAAGCGGAGGAGAGACGAGAATGAATTTCTAGGGTTTTGACAAATTTATAGACTGAAAGAGGTTTATTTTCTGCGACGGTTGGCTAATTACGCTTTTGTCCTCGCGTATCTTAAAAACTACCGTAGAAGTTTGGCTAATCACTTCGGGTGTTTATGCAACTCTACACTACATTTTATACTCTTTCCCTCAAGTGTTATCTTTAGAATAGGCTCTATACTCTTCTCCTCAAGTTTTAAACATTTCCATCTAAAACAAATAAAAAACAGCACCATCGTCATACTCTATAAAATCAAACTTTTCTACTTTTAGTAATCGACCCTGACTATCTTCTTTGCTTCTCGTCAATTATGCCTCATGTGACAATTTCTCCTCCTTTCACTAACTAATCCTCCTTTCATTGTTTCTCCTTTTCCTCTTTCAACTCAGGCAGTCATGAGAATGAGGATCTGCAAACAAACATCATGCAAAGAAGAAAAGGCTTTCCAACTCATAAAGACAAAGAATTATCGAAGCAATTCTACCATATTTCAAAAAAAAAAAATCTCGAATCAGTACACAACTCAGAAAGGCATTATCACCAAGGTTGTTATAGACTTTAATGTTTCAAGAAAGACTATAGGTGACATATGGAGCAGGAAAACAATTACTATAGAGTGCTGCCATTGATGTGAAGAGTAGAGTTGCAGTGAATGCAAGCATGAAAAAAGTGTCTGTAAACATATAGTCCATTCCAAACAATCCTCTTGCCGAAAGGATAACCATCCATCCTCTCACCCAAAGGACAAACCATCAGGGCATTGACAGCTGCCCTTGGTATGTCCTATTCCACTATTCATTTTTGTATTAAAAGTGGTTTGATAATAAGTCATCCCAATGTAATTAAACCTTTTTTAACCCAATAGCATCCCATGTAACCCCATGTTTAAAAAGTTTCACAATGTTCTCCACGTGGATGAGAAATGGTTTTCATGTCCAAAACATCACAGAAATACTATCTGACGAAGGATAAAATAGATCCATACAGAGCACGTAAGTTTAAGTGCTTCATTATAAGGTCATAAAGGGAAATCTTGTCATGGCCCACGGAAAGAAGAGAGGTTCGCTGTATATGATCGAGTTACCATCTAAGGGAGTGACCATCCCAGTTCAGAAGAGAAACGAAGTCTGGTTCACAAAGTCTCGTGGACAGAATAAAATTGTCTATGCAAGATGGAAACCCAGAGCCACAGGTCAGACTTAGGGTGAACGAGCGAGGAAAGGTTCAAGGAGGCCAGTTAGAGGCATGTGTGGCAGTGGGAGCTCAAGAGGCGCTTCAACCAAGTTTCCTCGAAGACAGCAGGAGAATCAGTATTCCAGATGTTGGAACATCTCCAGAAAATTTCTTGCTGAATATGGAGAGTATTTGTTCTTAAGATTTTCCAGTATCCGTCAGTGTGCGTCCGCAGTGGGAGCCGATAGGCACCAAGGACGAGTCAGGGGCAGATCTAACCGTGACTGATGTGTTGGACCTTGGGAGAACTTCAACGAGCCTTTCAATTGTCTAATGAGAGGGCCGGTGCAGCAGGAGAGCTGAGGAAGATTACTCGATATACAAGCAATCGTGGCGGATGACAATTGATAATTATCAAGTCTGCAAGCGGGAGAATGTTGGGTTTGTGGAGGCTTGGACTTAACTTATTGGCCGACCCATGTTATGAAACCCTAGATGCGCTCTTCCTATTTATATTGCATACTTGTACTTGTAATCGATAACACAAGTGAAATAGAAATTCATCCTGTTGTAGCTGTGGATTAGGGAAACCGAACCACGTTAAATTCTTATGTGTCGTTTATGTTCCGTTCTCTCTTTTGATTCTTGCAGATTATTTATGTGTATTATGTGTTTAATTTCCCAACATTTATGACCTCTACTATTTCAACAAATAAAAAATCATTCTAAATATTTTTTAAAATTATTTGAAAAATAAAAATTCAAAGAATAAAATAAAAAAATTTGTTTGATTTGATCTGAATATTCAGATTTCTAGTAATTTCCGAATGAAACATTGGTTGCGTTTGGAAAATGACTTTTCAGACGACTTTTGGCATCTTTGAGTGACTTTGGCATTTTTGAATCGAACAACAAAGATCATTGTTTGGCTAATGACTTTTTCACTTAACTGTTTGATTAGAAAAGCTAAAATCTTAAAGCTAAAAGGAGTAGCTTTTAGACTTGGCTATTAGAAAATTAATTTTTAAGTTTTTTTCTTGAAAGATATTCAATAAAATATCTAAAAAAATAAAAGTTAAAAAAATTTAAAAAAACAATTAAATATAAAAATTTAAATATCAAAACAACCCTGATGAGAAAACCAACAGAAAAAAATAATTAAAAAATTTATATACTATAATATTTTATGAATAATATGAAAGTGAAATTTTTTACTCCATATCTTAAAGAATTAATTTTTGCATGTACAAAAATGAAAAAAACATATTTTATATGTATATAATTTTTAAAAATTAAAATAACTATTCTTGAATAGTTAATTTTATCAAACATTCTTAACGATTAGTCAACGATATGAACCGGTCAAACCAACTAAATTAACACAAAGGCTATTTCTCTAATTTTGGCTCTTCTAATCCCAATTTCATTTTCCGCTTAACTCTCTGCGTCAGCCTCCTTCTCTTCTTCTACTCCTTCCTCTTCTCTGCGTTTTCTCCCCTCTTCTTCATCGCATCTCCCCCGTCGTTCTCCATTTCTCCTTATCGTCCCTCTCTCCATCGCCTCGTCGTCATCTTCCCCGACACCTTCCGGTAGAGTCTTAGGGTTAGCGTGATCTAGCGTCAGCTCTCCAATCCCCATCGCCTCCTTTCTCTTGTCGGAAACAGGTAATCCATCCCTTTTCTTCTATATACTTCGTAATTGCTTAATATTTTTCCACTGTGGCTTGGTTTTTGTTTGGACGCTAGCAATTTTTGCTTGTTAATTGTTGATTTTTCTAGGAGCCCTAAAAGATTTCTTATCCTGTAGTAGATTTTTTCCCATTACTGTAGTAGAGTTTCCCAATGAGAAGCTTATGTGTGTTTTTCTTGTTCATTTATGTGTTTTTTCAAAATTGATTTTTGAGTTCTAGGTTTGATGTTGAGTTCTGGGGGATAATCAAGCTATTATATATGATCTTGAATTTGTTTTCTGTTCTAAGATTGACCTGGTCTAGTTAAAAGAGGAGTTTTTGTTTGAGTATGATCAGTGTTGAATCTGTTTTACAATTGGTCTGGTCTGATCTGTTTTCTGTTGCTTTCGATTTCTCATTCCCATGCTTTTTGGTGGGGTGTGACACTGAGCTTCTGCAAGTTTCTTTGTCACTAGTCACTACTTGAGCATCTGCTACTTTCATTTCAAGCCAGTGTGTAAAAAAATTCACAGAATGCTACTCGTATTATATATTTTTGAATCCCTACAATACAAGTTCTTTTTTTGTAGTCCATAACATTTTACTGCATATCCATAGTTGATGGCGACATCCCTATTATGCATATTCATCTTCAGTATTGATTTTCCAGAAATGAACCCAACAAAAATAGTCAGTTTTCATACTTTTAGCCAAACACCAGGAAATTAGGTCATTTTCTAGAAGTTATTTTCCAGTAGTTATATTCCCGGTTTCCAAACGGAAAGAGATTCGATTTTCAGGAAAAGTTTTCTCTGCACACAACATCACGCTTTCTTCTATGCTGCCTTTACCCTACTTTCCTCTTTTGTTTGGCTCTTTTCATTACCATCATGTTTCAATGGAATCATAGGTATTAGGATTGGAACTTTTAAATTGGAAACCAACGTGATCTGAATCGCCTCCTCTTGTGCGCCCCCACACAAAGGCCTCTACAAACCTCACATAGAAACCATTGCCATTTAAACCAAAACCTGCGGTATGCTCTTCGTCCCTCCATAGTTATGCTCTTCAATAAATCGTTTGTGTTAATTTCGTGAAATAACTCATGAAAATGAGGATAACCATTAAAATCAAAAGAGTTATATTAAGAAATTGAGAATAATTTTTTTTTTACTTGCATAGTGTAAATAATTGTATATGGGTTGTTTCCATATGTAGTATTGTGCTCGGTAATATGTAATGGCCTAATGTGTTAATAGTTATTGGACTTTGATTTCTGATTGGGTTCTTAATTTATTCATCTATTTTTAGTGTGCAAATTAAAGGTTACTCCGTATTTTCTTTAAACAATTAAATGTTTTGAACTTTTCTTCAGTTGGAAAAATCTGAGTTTTCTCACTTTTTCTAGAAGATAAAACAAAATACTTTGCGCTTTCATTGATTAGCTTCTCATAAAATTCTTCAAATTATGCCTTTTGTTCAAATTAAGTTCAAAATTGAAACCTAAATCCAATCTTCAAACTTCGTGATGATTTTTCTTGAATCTCAAATCATCATGGATAGGTAGTGCTCAAATAGTTTTTCTTGTTCAAATTTTAATATTTCTTGGCTAAGTGGTGTTCTTCTGTTTCTTCTTAAATTTCTCTGTTCATCCTTTATTTTTGTCTTTGGTTTTTTGTTATTCCTTAATTCAAGATTCCATAACCTCCTTGCTTTCTTGCTTAATTTTAATTTTTAACTTTGATTGAAATTGCATTTGGCATGCTTCTAGTTTTTAGTATTCTTTCATCTGATTTTAGGTAGTTAAATTTCATGATTTGTTTTGCAGTTTGAATACCAGTTTTGTATTCCTTGAGATCTTTCTTTATTCTCTTTCTTCTTTTGAAGACAATATGCATCAGGCTGGTTAATATAAAAAGTTGATTTTTCCGAAGTAATTATATTTTTGGCTTTATGGTTTATATATTTCCCAAACTAAATTTAAAAAGTTGTGCATTTGTAGAATGTGATTTTTTTATGGGACAGCCTGCTTGGCTATTTTATTGTGTTGCTAATTTGAGAACTTTCTATTCATTGCATATTCCTGAAACTATGAATGAATTGATTTAAGATTCTGTCACTTAAAATGGACGAGGATGGTATTCATCACGATGACAAGGGAGTAGTTTTTGTGACTGTTGGCACTACTTCGTTCGATGCTCTAGTTAAAGCAGTGAATGCTGCTGAAGTTAGGAAAGAATTGTACAAGAAGGGCTATACCAATATAATTGTTCAAATGGGCCGTGGAACCTTTGTTCCCACGAAGGTAGTTACTCTCTAAACATGTTAATAGTTGAATGGTTTTAGTGTGTTGTGAAAGCTGGAGAACTTTTGTTTAGTTTAGAAAAGTGTACACTGCAAAGGCGGCTTCCAAGTCTCCTCTTCAGTTATAAAGTATTGAAGAAAAGAACATAAAGTTAGTAATTACTCTGAATATGTCTAAATCTCGTACTTTACTTTTTTAACAAAATTTATTTTTTCAAAAAATAAGAAGAATATGTCTAAATCAGCGTTTTTGAAAAAATCACACATTGTGTAGTAGATACAAAGTTAAATCCAAGAATGGAAATATCGTGATTGGGAAAATTTGGTACGCACTTTTTTCCCCTGTTTGGGGCTCTGCTAATTCTCATCATTCACTCCTTTTGTGCAACAAATACACTCATAACTTCTCACACAGATTAAGAAAGGCTAGTCAATAGAGTTACTACAAAACGGTCCAGTATAATACCTACTCTGTTGTTATAAATATATATAGAGATCCAAAACTTCATAGCAATTAATAAAAAGGAAGGGAAGTTTAATGTGTCATTTTGATTTAGTCCATTATTTACCAAAGCTAGAATATTTCCTATAAAGACTATTTTAGATCCATTGGCGATGGAAGTATGTTACAACATTACAATTATCCCTTATAACTCGTATATACCCTAAATTTCAAGATGACCTTGGGTTTAGAAATTATTCTGATGGCATAATATGTATTCTTATAATAGCATTTCTTTACTGCCTGTACTCTTCTAGGAACATTTCTTTACTGCCTCTCAAAGAATCTGTTGCACATTTTAATTGCTTGCTTAAATATGACTTTGACCTTTTCAGTCTGCTTTAGAAGATGGATCTCCAGCCCTGGACTATTTCACTTTCTCATCGAGCATTGCCGAAAACATGAAATCAGCATCTCTTGTTATTAGTCATGCAGGTAACTTTATTCATTAAAATCAATTCGTTTTGGTTCATCTCTAGGAAATGAATTCGATTTGATGTCTGTGTGGCTCTTTATGGCTATAATAATAATAATAATAATAATAATAATAATAATAATAATAATAATAATAATAATAATAATAATAATAATACTCCCTCCGTCTCATATCTTTTTTCTCATTTCGACTTTTGTAGTCAATGTTTTAAAACTTTGACCACAAATTACAGAAAAAATACATCGAATTGTTGTATAAATTTAATATCATTAGATTCATTCTGAAACGTAGTTTTGGAATATCATGTTTTTATAAGTTATGCTTATATATAAATAAAGATATAAATGATCAAAGTATTGAATCGGAGACCGTGAAAAAATCAAATGGGAAGAGAGATATGGGATGGAGGGAGTAATTCGTGAATTGCAATGCAGGATCAGGGAGCATATTTGAGACATTGAGGCTAGGCAAACCATTGATCGTGGTAGTCAATGAGGATTTAATGGACAACCATCAAAGCGAGCTAGCTGAAGAGCTCGCAGACCGAAACCATTTGTTTTGCGCCCGTCCACATTCGCTGTACCAAACCATCAGAGACATGGATTTAGAATCTCTTGTTCCATATCAACCTGGAGATGCCAAGCCAGTAGCTCAACTCATTTATAGACACCTTGGTTTCCCGGAGTAATGGTGATGGTATCTTGTCCTCATATGACCCATTTGGTTGGTATGTATGCCCTTTATCTGTTTTTCATACATCCGATGTGGTTTCATGCCTTCCAAATATTTTTGGTTCGTGACATTTGACCCTCTTTGGGGGCCAATGTCTTTGTTAGTCACACCCACCTTACCGGGCCATCACTGTGAATCAGCTCTGATACCTTTTGATATAGGCCAAATTGGAGAGTTCATCTAAAGGGAAGTTTTGTATATTGCAAATGATTTCAGTTTGTAATAGTAGATAATCATGGTGAAATCCTATTTAAGGGATAAGAATTTGGAAGTCTTATCTTGATAGGGAGTATAGTATTGGTATTTTAATTTTGTTTGGCAGGTAGGTTTTGTTGACACAGAGAACACCAACCACTGTTCATTTGAGGCTCCTATGATGTTTCATTTGACCCCGAAGTGGTTCCTATTTCTTCTTAGTAGGAAGCACGTCGACCCCACTCCTTACCCACCCAGGGAGTCCCTTGAATCGAAGCACTCCAAATTAGTTAAAATTTCGGTCTAAGTTTAGACCAAAATATTTTAACTAATTTGGGGTGCTTCAACTAGACGGGGCAGGCTGCTAGAGTGGGTAAGAACTATTTTGGCGTCGAATGAAATATCATTAATGTCTCGAATAGGTGTTGTTGATTGGTTACCGTAACTCTAGTGTTAACAAGATAAATGTGAAACTTAATGTAGTACTCTTTCGTCCCAAATTAAATTGCATGTTTATTATTTACATGGTCAAACTTTATTCACTCTTTTTCTCTATTTTTGTTAGTTATTTGATAAAACAATATAATCACGTCACTACTAGTTTTGTAGATCTTTTGATGCATTTTTTAAACATGTAATTTTTAATTTTTAATTCTACATCGTATTTCATATAAAATGATCTGAAAATAAATTCAGTCAAATATTGTAGATCGAAATAGATAATTTAAATTGGGACGGAGAGAGTAGTACTCATTCAAGAAATTAGAAGTCATATTTTAAAATGGAGTATAATATTCTTATTTTTATTTTGTTTGGATAGATAGATATGTAGCAGAACCTTTTTTTTCATCCTTGAAAGAAGTATATGTATGTAAAACTTAGAGTAAATTTCATCAATGGTACCTGAACTTTAGCTGGAATTTCGAAGTGGTACCTAAACTTCAAATCCTTTCACAAAAATCTTTGAACTTACACAATCCTTTCACTAATGGTCCATTAACCCGTTTCTAGGTCAATTTTTGGTCATTTGGGCTAAATTAGAATTTTATATATTTTAAAATTTTCAATTTGACCCCATTTCTTCTTTTCTTTTCTTCCGCACCCCGCCGCCGCCGCCCGCCGGTCAAAGTCGCCGGAAAATGAACTTGGTTTGATTCCGGCGAGACCAACGCCATTCTCTTCGTCTTGAGACGAGGATCAAGAATATCCAAACCATTTTGTCCAATTTGGCCTGTAACTCCTCAAATCTGAATTTTTCCACCCGAAAAACCCTAAAATTCGAAATTGGGTCCAAAATTGGGGGTTTTGTAAATCTTCATCAAATCTTGCAATTGAGGGGTCCTTGGAGGTCGCCGTGATGCCACGAACACATTGGAGTGGATTACCNGCGAGACCAACGCCATTCTCTTCGTCTTGAGACGAGGATCAAGAATATCCAAACCATTTTGTCCAATTTGGCCTGTAACTCCTCAAATCTGAATTTTTCCACCCGAAAAACCCTAAAATTCGAAATTGGGTCCAAAATTGGGGGTTTTGTAAATCTTCATCAAATCTTGCAATTGAGGGGTCCTTGGAGGTCGCCGTGATGCCACGAACACATTGGAGTGGATTACCGCCGTCAATTTTGCCGGAGTTGGCCGGAAAACGCTCCGACCCGCCGGAAACCGACGGCGGGTCGGAGCGTTTTCCGGCTAAATCTGGCGAAATTGACGCAGGTAATCCACTCCAATGTGTTCGTGGCATCACGGCGACCTCCAAGGACCCCTCAATTGCAAGATTTGATGACGATTTGCAAAACTCCCAATTTTGGATCCAATTTCAAATTTTAGGGTTTTTTCGGGTGAAAAAATTCAGATTCGAGTTACATGCCAAATTGGACAAAATGGTTTGGATATTCTTGATCCTCGTCTCAAGACGAAGAGAATGTCGTTGGTCTCGTCAGAATCGGACCAAGTTCATTTTCTGGCGACTTTGACCGGCGGGCGGCGGGGCGCGGAAGAAAAGAAAAGAAGAAATGGGGTCAAATTGAAAATTTTAAAATATATAAAATTCTAATTTGGCCCAAATGACCGGAAGTTGACCTAGAAACGGGCTAATGGACCATTAGTGAAAGGATTGTGTAAGTTCAGGGATTTTTGTGAAAGGATTTGAAGTTTAGGTACCACTTCGAAATTCCAGCTAAAGTTCAGGTACCATTGATGAAATTTACCCGTAAAACTTAGTGTCGCAGTACTAATTCAACAAATGATCCTTAAACATTGCTAAGGGAAGACCGTGGAAGCATGATAGTAAAGTTGCACGGGGCTGGGGTCGGAGGTTCACTGGGGGTTATGGGTAGGAATGTAGGAACGTTAATTTTTTGAATCAAGCATCGTACGAGTCTCAATTGGATAAATGTCATAATATGACACCTAAAATTTATGTCATTTCAACCTTGTCTTATTTATAATCAAAACCTTTATACTTTCTCCATTTCAAAATGTTCTTTTTTTGAAAAAAACTAAATAAGGAGTAAATATACCAAAATAAGAGTTCTATGTTTTTATTTTCGAAATAGGAATTAAAATGTACTTCGTACTTACATTACTAATCATGACAATGTAAATTACTCCATACCAAAAGGTATAGTAAAATGCATATATATATATATATATATATATATATATATATATATATATATATATATATATATATATATATATATATATATATATATATATATATATATATATATATATATAGGGGCCGGTTCCTGTAAGAATGGACCTTGTGGAGAGAAATGAGAATAAAATCTAGCCTTTGGATCTGATGCATCGTGCGGCTCAGATTGCATCCTGCGCTCATATTTTGAGATAGTGCATTTTCAAAAGATTATGGTGCATTTCGACATGGTGCATTTTCAAACCATTTTGGTGCATCTAATTTTGATGCAATCCTGACCCTTAGATCTCACAATCTAAAGCACCAGATTCATTCTCATTTCTCTCGTAAGATCGCATTCTCACCAGAACCAAAATCTATATATATATATATATATATGCATTTTACTATATATATATAGTAAATTACTATATATATATATATATATATATATATATATATAGTGTCACATTATCACAGTGCAAACTTCTATTTAGAAAATAAAAACATAGAATTGCTATTTTGGTTTTTCTTTATATTTTACTCTTATTTAGGGTGATTTCTTTTTCCTATTTTATTCATCCAAAAGTTCTTCTCATTTCTTTTTTTAGCTTACTTTTTTAGGATAAATGTCAATAACACACTTCTACTTTAACACACGCTCACCCAAAGTAATTCACTCAAATTAAAATGGGAACATTTTTAAAAGTTTGACACTTTTCCTACTCCTAATTAAATAAGTGTGCCAAATATATTCTCCTAAGGATATTTTCAGACGGAGGAGTAATCAATGTCTATTCAAGAACAACAATGTACTCAAGTTTTGGATTTGCTTTTAAACCATAGACTACCATATATGTCTTTAACGAAGCACCCTATTAGTTTCAGGGTAGAATGACTTCAAATCAAATATCACTAATCACTCAAAAATATTATGAATATGGTGTATCGTCAAGGTTGTATGACAAAGGCATATTAAGGATGATGGACATATTATGGACATGTTATAGCTCTATTATATTCTACTCGAAGCAGATAAGAATTATATTAAAGAACAAAGAACTATTTGTTTGTCAAGAAATAATGGAAGAACTTCCTGGATACGAGTCAGAATTACGAAAATATCAAAATAGGAATCCTAAATCTTTTAAAACCAAAATAAAAGTTAACAATGTCATTTTTACACTGCCACATTCACCACATTATTGCATTTCAACTGCCACACTATCATTGCAACACTGTCATCAATCGATGTCAGCCACTAGAGTACCATCGCGGATCACCAACTTTTCTTTTAAAACCAAAATAGAAGTTCACACGTGTTGGGACTGCGCGTGCCCTCACCCCAACCCCGCATTAGTATGATATTGTCCGCTCTGGGTCAAGCCCTCACGGATTTGTTTTTGGGCACCTCCCAAAAGGCCTCATACTAATGGGGTTGGGTGAACCTTTTTTATTTTGGTCCAGTTTTTCTTCTCCATCCGGTGTGGGACTTGGAGGAATCCCAACAAACCTCCCCTCATCCAAGGACCACACAATTTCCGACCTCCCCTCCAGCGGTAATCCTTTTTTTTTCTTTTTATCTGCTAACCATCTTGCACCGCCGCACACTCTTTGCGGGACACGCCGCCCGACCTCCTGTCGGGAAGACTTTCGACGCAAGGCTAGAACCGTAGATCTTTCCTTCGCTGGGCTACACCATTTGACCCGCCAAATCATCTTGTACCGCCGTGGCTATAACCTCACGGGACACGCCGCCCGACCTCCCCTTGTCGGGAAGACTTTCGACACAAGGGCACCACCTGCGGATTCTCTTTCTTGGTCTTGGTCCTATTGCTACACCGTCACACCGAGATTTTTTCACACCGCACAGTCCGCTGCTCACGCCCGCAAGAACCTGGGCTCTGATACCACATGTTGGGACTGCGCGTGCCCTCACCCCAACCCCGCATTAGTATGATATTGTCCGCTCTAGGCCAAGCCCTCACGGATTTGTTTTTGGGCACCTCCCAAAAGGCCTCATGCTAATGGGGTAGGGTTAACCTTTTTTATTTTGGTCCAGTTTTTCTTCTCCCTCTGGTGTGGGACTTGGAGGAATCCCAACAAATATTTATTGAGGTATTTTGATTAAATAATTGAAACAAAAAAGAAAAAAAAAGGATGAAATTTGGTGGAAACAACCAAGAAGTGGCAGGAGAGCCTTTAGGAGTTTTGTTTTCTTTCTCTTGGAGGTGTGAGCTAGATTATTCCCCACTATTGTGTATTTTGCTATTTAAAAGCCATGCAACAATACCGTAGGGAGGGAAAGGAAAAAAGAGGAAGGTTAAGAGAGAGGTGTACACAAGATATCACCAACATTGTGTGAGTGAGTGTAGAGAGTAACTGGTTTTAGTTACTCAAAAAAATACATCCGGGTGTAGGGTGTGAAAAGTTTGTTTATAAGTGTCTGGTATTTAGCACTTGTAAACAGGGAGAGTTTTTTGTATATCGTTCTGAAATAGTGAAGATATAATTTTTCTCTCATATTTTCTTCTTGTGTAGTGTGTTATTCATTTTTCACGTTCTTGATATTTTTAAAAGTCTTACGCGCTTAAAATCCCAACAATTGGTATCGGAGCCAAGTTACATTTGGGGCGGAGGGATTTCTAAGCGGTAAGAGAAGAAAGTCGAAGAACTTGAAAAATGGCATCGGTGAAAAGTTCGAATGTTTCCGTCGAACCTTTCGATGGACGTGGTGATTTTACTCTGTGGCAACAACGAGTAAAAAGTGTTCTTACTCGGGAAGGGACAATCAAAGCTCTGAAGGTGAAGGTTCAGAGGACAGAAAAAATGACGGATGCTGAGTGGGCCAAACACCGGAAGAACGACAA